CAGGATATCCAGCTAAAAAACTCGACCTCTTCCCAGCGTCATCCACTAAGGTCGGGAAAGAAATGGGTATGAAATCACAGGCCCTTTCCCCTTGGCAAGCAGGCTCTGAGAGTGTTCAGATGCACCTCAGGGTAACTGTGGCTTCATAACAATCAAAGCTGATTGATGGGAGGAGGCTCTCTGTGTTCATGTGTTTAGTCTATCCATGCTTTTAGTTCCACTGTGACTGTGCTTACTAATGGAAATGCATTTCTCTCTCTCACCATTACCCAGATATAGACGCTCTCGGATATGAAAGAACCTTTTTACCTCAAGATTTTGTCTTGTAAGGCATCCCTAATTCAGGAAGGAAATGAGGAGGAGTTGACAAAAAAAAAAAAAAAAAAGAAAAAAAAAACCCACCACAAATGTTTTGTCAGGTAGTTCAAAGAGAGAGAGAAAGTTAAAGAGCTCATTTTCTGTATGGTTTCTTACACAGTCCAGTTCAAGGAATTCGCTTTCTCGTCAAGGGCTGTAACCATCAGAAAATAAAATAAATGTTAATTTTTGCCCTCTGCCCCTGCTGTTTATTGTTGTTGTTTCTGTTTGTTTTGTTTTGTTTTGCTTTGCTTTAGGAAATTACAACTGACAGAATAAAAATCTTCAACCCAGGGTCCTGACGATATTACAGTATCAATTCTGACAAATCCACTGTGATATGCAAATGATTCCTTTTCTACAAGTGTGGAATATGAGGCTGAAAGAAATAAAAGAGCACATCCAAGGCTACGTATCACGTCTGATTCCAAGGTTGAGGGCTCCTACCAACACCCAACAGCTTCTAGACCGGACATGCACATGTATGTCAAAATGCATGACAAACAGTCATCCATGTTCTGAGGTAGAAAAGGTAGAAATTGAGCACCAATCTCTCTTGTAGAAGGAGGAATTAGAAGCCTGTAAGAATTGTTGCGGGTGGAGGGTTGAAGCAAAGGAAAGTGAACCCTTATGGGAATACTCATGGGAAACCTCAGATTCTGAGGTTTCTTTCAAATAATCTGGTTTTCTCCTCACAGACTGGCAGGTTGTCCTGTGCTACAAAATGACACTATGTTGGGCCAGAACTGATCTATCCATCTTTGATTACTTCTGAATGCCAAGCTGAAAAATTAGTTCATGCCCCAAATGGAATGTCCAAATGCCAAGGTGGGGCATTACCTTTGAAACACTCTGTGATCATGGTGAGGCCACTGACCCTCTCTGAACCTCTCCTGATCTACAGAGGCTGACTTTATAGGGGAAGACTGGAGCTTCCCAGGGAGTCTTGTGAATCTGTGTTTTTCTCTTCTGTGAAAGAGCAAAGTAGGAGGAGGAAGGTAAAGGGGATACTTAGAAAAGGAAGGGGAAAGTAGCTCTAACCTTTTGTAAGGGCCATGCTAGAAGGCGGACACATCCTGCTGTTGAATGCAAAACAGGAGGAAAAAGACCATTTTGTGCTAAGAACCTGACATCCAGAAGTGGTCCTGGAGCCTTTCGTGAAAACACACATTAAGACCGTCCAATCCTGGAACCTTCCCCATAAGCAATTTTTCCTACCCCAACCTAGCAGTGTTTCCAGATGCCTCAGCTTATGGCCAAATCCTCCAAACAAAGTAGATCTTAATTCACTTTTGTTTAATAATTAAACAAAAATCATCTTAAAACTTTCAGGAAGACCGGGCGCGGTGGCTCAAGCCTGTAATCCCAGCACTTTGGGAGGCTGAGGCGGGTGGATCACGGGGTCGAGAGATCGAGACCATCCTGGTCAACATGGTGAAACCTCGTATCTACTAAAAATACTAGAAATTAGCTGGGCATGGTGGCACGTGCCTGTAATCCCAGCTACTCAGGAGGCTGAGGCAGGAGAACTGCCTGAACCCAGGAGGCGGAGGCTGTGGTGAGCCGAGATCGCGCCATTGCACTCCAGCCTGGGTAAAGAGAGTGAAACTCTGTCTCAAAAAAAAAAAAAAAAAAAAAAAAAAAAAAAAAAAAAAAACCTTTCAGGAAAGTGGGAATAGGGTATGAAAAGGGACTAGGAAGCAAAATAATGTCTGGATGTTGACTCTGCCAAAGCTGCACATCCTTGCTGGATGAGCGTGGGGATGGGGCATTATTCTGAGACACAGCAAGTGTTTTATCTACAACTGACAAATCCCAAATCCTCCCAGCTTCCGTTTCTCCCTACTTAAGACCTGGGTCATGGTATTTATTTACTTAAATGATGGAGATGAAGGCAGGCTTAAAGCTGGCCACCTGTCAGAATAACAGTGACCTGTTTCTTAAAAGGATTTCAGCAACTTCCCAACGTAAGACAAAAGGGAATTGTGTGGAAAACATATAGAAAAGAGCTCACTAATTGCGCTAAAAGAGGATGGTGAGGTGGAGTGGAAAGATTTTAAGGGCAGAGAGATGCTGTCAGAACTAAGCAGATCTGTGGGTGCCCTACCAAGCAACTTGAAAGAGTAGAAATCCCCTCCTCTTTGGAGATTAGAAGTGATTTTGCAAAGTATGATAGCCAAACTAGGAAGTTAGGCACCCTTATCGCCTCTCATTAATGCCCTTGGGCTTCTTCCTATCCTTATGAAGAGAGGCTTGTTACAGTTCCTAAGCAATGCAAACAAACTTTCTCAGAAACAACACCACTTCTGCTTTTGAGGCTGGAGAGTCAACAGATAGAATCCTAACTGGAGGCCAGGCAAGGTGGTTCAGGCCAGTAATGAGGCAGGCCGATCACCTGAGCTCAGGAGTTAGAGACCGGCCTGGGCAACATAGGGAAACCCTGTCTCTACTAAAAATACAAAATTAGCTGGACGCAGTGGTGCAGGCCTGTAGTCTCAGCCACTCAGAAGGCGGAGAGGCAGGATAATTGCTTGAGCCCTTGGGGTGGAGGTTGCAGTGAGCTGGGATTGTGCCACTGCACTCCAGCTTAGGCGACGGAGCAAGACTCTGTCTTAATCTCTCTCTCTCTTACACACACACACCCAAAAAAGAAGGGGTACAGAATCCTGCCTGGAAAATCTAAAGACAAAGCATGGATGACCTTCTTTAACAAACACATGTGAACCACTTACTAGGTATCAGGCAGTGATCTCCAACAATGATCTCGTGTGGCACTTAGAAAACTTCCTCCTCCTCATCACTCCCATTTTACAGAGAAAGTGAGCACCCAGGCGAAGCACTAGTCCGCGGAGAGGCCAGTATGTGGACAGGCACACTGTCCCAAGGGTCTGTGCTCTTATCCACTGTTCTGTGCTGAGCCTCGGCAGAGAGGATGTGGTGCCATGTGAGGTTGTCATAGAGCCACATCGCAGGGTGTTTCAGAGAGCTGCTACCTGAGGGATAGAGTATATCCCCAGGCTTGTGCCAGTCTTTTATCAGCTCTCAGAGGGTATCAACTTATCAAGTCCAGACACAGAACGATTAAAAGGGCATGGGTTATGGACGGATCTGCTTGCAAACCTTCCATTTTCCTAGGGCAAGTTAATTAATTTTGGTACCTCTTACTTTCCTATCTGTAAAGCAGGGCTAATGTGACCTTACTCAGGATTCTGTGAAGATTAGAAGCAAAATACACAACCTGCTCGACAGATTGCCTGGTGATGGAAGGATAGGAAGTGCCTAATTTGTAAGAACTGTTTTGAATATTTACTTGTTGTAAGGCCCAGTGAAGAAAGCTCTGGGCATCTGGACAGTGATTACGAATCCCTCAGAGGCAGTTCCTGCATATGAAATGGTGGACTGGCTGAACAAAGCTTTATCCACAGAGTCTGCCTTCTAGATTTAGCACACAAGGTAGCTCCCTGCTTCCACAAAATGGAAAGCAATTTTATTAAGTGCTTAGTTCAATTAGTTTGTGTCCAGACAAAACTCTTAAGGGCTGTGCAGACACAGTTGTCATCATGATTACCCACGTACATCTGGAAGGCTCGTTTTTCCAGAAGCCAGAGGCCTAAGCCTAACTTCTGGTACAAGAACCAGGTGAAATTTCCATTTAGTAGTCTACCACCCACCCCAACTCCTTAGGAAAGGGCTCGAAGTCAATCCATTCTTCTACTGGTGTAGAAAGTCAAAGAAGGATTGTTCACTTGTCATAGTACCTCTTTTGGTCCATGTTAGCTACCATGGCCATGAGCTCCTTCAGGGAAGCCCACGGGAAGCTCAAGCATCTTCTCTACAAGCGTGGACCCAAATGTCCATCACACCTTACAGTGACATCCAAAATACAAAATAACTTAACAACTACAGCATACCAAGATGGTTATATGTGAATCTGAGTGGGAATTCTGGCCTAGAACATTCTCTCAATTCTGCTGGTACTGAAATCAAGAACTCCTTTCAAGAATTGCACCAAAGGATCCACAATGGGTAGGAAGGAAGGAACATATATCCAGAATACAATCCAATGAGCCCTGGAACATAAGACTTTGGAGATGCATTGCAGATTCAAGATTATGCTGTCTTTCTTCAGTGGTTTTTCCGTGTGATGTTTTCATATTTTTCCTGGTTTTTGGCACCCTACTGCCTACCCACTCTTGGTTGCCGTTTTCCAACCAACCATTCTGTGGGTAGGCATCATTAAAAAACTGGTGAGGAGACGGTGACTGCTCTTGGGGAAAATGAGAATGTGCAGTGATTACTCTGTCATCAGCTGTTTCCCAAAACTCACTACCACAAACTTGCCCAAAATACATCCACAGCCTTAACTGCAGTTTCTCCATTCCTGTAGAAATTGCAACAGCCAAAGATGAAACCTAAGGCAAGACAGATGACAGTGTGATGGAAGGAAAGAGTATACTGAGTGCCTTATCGATCTACCTGCCAGCCTGTGAATGGTGGGTAATAAAAATTTATTGAAAATCAGGGAAAAAAATCACTTATTCTAATTCTTCTGAAAGGCATTACTGATGTAGCATATGAATAGATCCTTCCTTCCCCAGGAAAAAACTACCACCCTCCCACCAGCCAACCCTCCAAACAGCGCAAATTTAAAAATCTTGCAATTTTATTTGCATATAAAGGCCGCTAGATATAGAATATCACAATAAATTTAAAGAAACAACTGCTTTCCTAAATTTCATTAACAAGGTAACATAAAATAGAATAAAGCTCAACAGCATTTACAATGGGAAAACAGAAATGACTATTAGCGACAATATTTTGTGCTAGCGAAGATTGCATCGACACACAGTGCAAAATGGGAGGGGGAGGGGAAGTAAGAAGACAATTCAGGGTATTTAAATAGAAAGGACAACTAAGCCTTATTTTAGTTAGCTTCCATTGCATCCATTTAAGTCTATACACGCCTGTAACTGTACCTAGATTTAACTCAAGTTCTTTAAGAACTTGAGTTCTGAGAAAATATGTCAGTTCCTTCCGACTTCTGATGTGCTGCTATACAGCATCCCTTTGCAGTTGTACTGTCCTTGGCAATATTAAACTCCTAACATAGTCATAATACACAAAAAATACTTATATATATAAACCCATATTGAAAAGGAGTCTGCATGTTCCTTTTTTTTTAACTGTATGAAATACCTGCTCTTGATAGATTCCATTTCTGTATTTTTAAAGCTAAAATAATTTAAAAGAAACAAACAAACAATGAGACCTTGTATAACCACAATAGGAATCTCACTAGCTAAACCATCCTTTAAATGATGGCCATTATCTTCTCAATGCAGCTTTCTTTATAGTGAGAGTATGAAGAGAAGTCTTTTCCATGCCTACTTCTGTTGAGAAGATTGCTATAAATCAGGACCACATCTGCAAAGAAGAAGCATTACCAAGAAAACAACGACAAAACATCAAAAGTTAAAATATTTCAAACAATACTCTTAAACAGTTGTGCAAATCCGGGTTGGTTTTTAAAACACTGCCTACCTGTTTCTTATTTTTTTTCTTTCAGCTTAAAGCATATTAAAATAAGACTTTTATCACTTTTTAAAAGAAAGCTTGGCTGTCCTTTGGCGAACACTAACAATTTACAATGGCATGGCCTTTGAGAAAACAGAAGTCATTTTACAAATTCACAATGTTCCTCTGATTTCAAATGGATGCCCCATTTAAAATAAAATAAAATAAAGAGAAGCACAACCTCTAGCATCATTTGTGTTCCAACAATTTACAAAAAGAACTCACAGGGTTTGGAAAGAAGTAAGAGAATGTAAGTTATAACTAGAAAAATGGCAGTTTATAGACCTTCCCTCACATTCCAATAGGGCATTTAGAGCTTCAGGAACCCTGTGGGTTTGGAAGGTCAAATATAATGGGAGGGTTGGTCGGCTGAAAGCTGACTGTACACGTCGAGGCATTGATGTACGTTGTGTAACCGTCAGTCATGATGCCATAACCTGTGGGGAGAGAGTGTCACATTTACTGTAATATATACAAATGAGAGTGACGGAATGTAGGGTTGTCAGACAAGGAAAACAAACAATTTTTGTCAGTGGGCAGTTAGATGAAATTCAATAGCACCTCCTCAGATATAATGGATATACTGACTTTCAGAAGCTACTGCCCAATTTTATTCTATTTTCTTTAAATGGGAAAATCCACCCCTTCAATTAACAATGATTTTTTTTTCTTTATTTAAATGCCAAACTTGTTGGAAAAGGGCTATAATTTTTTTACTAGGGAGAATAAAGAAAAAACATTTTATTTCCTCCTTTTAAAATAGGATTTTCATTTAAAAGCCTTGTGTTGACTACTGAGTTCTAGGGAATAAAATGAATAATATAAGGATTACTCCTCAGGGGCAAACAAAACCAAATTTCAAGTGGGATACGGGGCAGGTGAGAAGGAAAGGATACTGCATTAGGAGTTAAGAAACACAGATGCTCAGTTTACTTATTTAGGAAATAATCTCTTAACTGCCTTTATGAAAGTTAACCATACATGATTTTTGAATTGTGTGGCTTTATTACTAAGCTCCCTTTCATTCCAAAGTGTCAGCTAGTCACATGTCCAAGTGATGTGTAGAAACATCACCCTAGGACACTGTTTCCTCAGTTTACCTGGATACTAGATCAAGCAATAACACATCCCATATGCAATATAAACCTTTTGTGATTTACTGGAGAAAGCTGTTTCCCTAGGTCTTTGGTGTATATAGTCCTCGGATAATTTTCAACATGTTAAAATGTTTAGCATATTTGCAAGTTTGCACATTTCCCTGAATACCTTATATTTGCCTTATAGCCTCTTCAACTAAGATTGTAATTCTATGCTGGTATCAGGCTCTTACGGCATATAAAAATATAGCTGTGAAAAAAATAAAACTACCAAGATGTATGGAAGTAACTGAAAAGGCTTTTTTCCACATTTGCTAAAAATTTCTCCAAGTAGGCCTGTGGAGAGCTTAATGAGGGTCAATAGAAAAATCTCTTAAGAAAAGAAAAGAGGCATTTAAAATTTGCGCTGTTTAGTTCTGGGGTCATAAAGTCTTGTTATCTCTCTCCATCAAGAGGTTGGTATTTGCCCTCTTCCTGCCCTCTTCAGCTGTCTTAAGTGAATAAAAGTGAGACAAGTTTATTTGAATACGATCTCCTCTCTTTTAGGCAAGTTTATTATTTTGGGGCTTCAGTAGAATTCCTCAACTATTTGGCTAGTTTAAAGGTAATTAACGATTTTTTTTTAAAAGATAAAACGCAAACTCATAGGCATGCTGCAGAAATTCAGACCCATTTTCAGAATAACGGCCCCCCAGAAATGTTGCTTAATTTAGAAATGAGGTCCCACCTCTCTGGTCTCCCCTTCAGGTGTTCCCTTCATCATACCTTAGGGCAGTGCCCTCCTCTTCAGGGAGCACAGCTCAAATCCAGGGCAGGCTGACATCCACTCTCTGGGAGCTGCACCCTGCTTTCCATCCACTCAGCTGGTACCTGCACTTGGAGCAAGCTGAATTTTCTCTGGCCTCAGTAGGATGATTTTCAATATGCTCTTTATTACCTGCCTAACCAGGAAGCCACTGGATTTGCGGGCTTTGAAAAAGCAAACTTTGTTTTTTGCTTCCTCAGGCACAGAGCCTTAAACACCTCAACTTGACTGCAGATTCATAAATAACTCCAGAGAGCCTCTATAAGCAGGAGCTGGAGAGAATATAGTAGCTGCCCACGTAAACATGGCCACTGCACACAGCGAGTGTAACTGGGAGAGTCTGGTAGGGACAGAGATCCTCAGGCTTGCTGAAAGAGGGCTTTGTGTCTCTCCCAAAGCCCAGTTACCCCTAATTTGAAAAAGGCAGCTCAGAGAAAACCCAGATCCCTGAAGTTTCCTGTGAGGCTTTCGGTTCTGTGAACCTGGCTCAGCTTACCTTGAAAGGCAGATAAATGGCAACTGGACCAGTTCCCATTTAAGAGAGATTTAATTATTCTGCTTAACCTCAGCCTGAGCTAATAGCTCTGATGATTTCTGAGAAGTCTGATATAGTTTTCTGAGGTTAGTAAGGAAATGTCTTCCTGCAAATGTGTGGGTTCCCGCCACTTCTGTTACATTATCTTTCATTGGATGTCCCAGCTATTTTTCAGAGACTACCTTGTCTTCCTGAGTCTTTGTGTTAATTCCATATGAAACACAGTATTTACAGGTAGGAGGGGACTACAGAGGCTTAAAATAGCTTCTAATATCCAGGCCATTTCTTCTAACTCTCTTAAGGAGAAAATGACTCCTTGTGTACCTCAGGGTTGCTCTAAAGCAGTGGTTATCAAACATTCCTCCTTAAAGCCCTGAGATTCCAGAAGCTGCCAGGGGGAGTGCTGGGTTTGCAGTAAAGTAGACCAGACGTGGTTCCTACTTTCCACTCTCCTTACAAGAGAGAAGGTCCGTATGAAATATTTATCAGCTTTATATGCAGATGTTTCTCATAAGAGTTCATCCTATAAAAGGCTCCCACTGTTAAAAAGTTTGAAAACAATGACTCCAGTTAATCCTAGTTGTAGACTGAGATTGTGGATAGTGACATGGCATGTTTTGAATTCTTTCTGCTATTCTTACCTTCATGGATTCCACCAAACACGTGGAGCTTGGGCCGGACTCGCCTCTGAACCGTGTTTAACAGCTCCACACAGCCCACTCTTTGAAGCTCCTTTGGAACCCAGTCTCGGAAACCTAAGAGCAAAATGCAATCAATACACTTAATTTTCTTTCTTCAGGTAAGGTTTCATTTAGACTTTCAGGAAGCCATAACTCACAGAAGGTTTATTACATTATCTGTAATACTAGCTTCTCCATTAAAGCTCACAATGGCTTTTAAGAAACTTTTCACTCGTCACTTCGTCTTCTTTAGGTTCTTGAAATTTTTTTTTTTTGCTTTCCATTTTTTTCTTCCTGTTAATTAACATTTTTTTTTCTATAACAGATTTGATTTATTCAGCGATGGGTTTCAAATCTTCTTCATGAGCTCAATGACATTTATTCCCAGCAGTCCCATATCTCTTTCTCCCTCAATTCAGTTACTTTCTCTTTTTTGTTACATCTTTCTTATAGCAGTTTACTTCTAAGATGGTTCAAAGAAGAAGGACCAGGAGGGGCTGCCTGTAAACTGGTCACGAGATACCTGGCTCTCTTTGGATACACTAACTCTTACCCCTTGTGGTTCCCGATGACCAAAGCTTTGGAAAGCCAGTTTGTTCCTGTGGTCCCATCCTCTCCAGCTACAGGCAACAATGTGACCTCATGGTGGCATCCAGCAAGCTGGGGCTAATTGACTACTTTTAAAGTAAAAGCCACTTAGTTCTACACTTAATGCAGAAAATCCATAAAAACTGACATCAATTATAGCAAAAGTCAGCTATCTGGATGATTATGGCCTGGAATTGGAATCCATACGCCTCAGCAGGATAGGGCATAAAAAGGCAGTAGGATGAAAGGCTAAATCGTAATCTCTGGAAATCCATTCCACAGAGCCATTAGGTTATTTCTATTATTTAGAAATAACAGGGCAGTAAGGAACAGCTTTCTGCTTTGTTGGGCCAAACTGCAGACGTGAATGTTTAGTGTCTCTATAAAGACACATTTGCTGCGGGGTGAGGAGTGACCAGAGAGTCTGAGAACAGATGAAAATTGGGGCCCTAGCAAAAATCTATCCAGCATTTTCAAAACTTTTTCAATGGGGGGAAAACCTTAGTCTACATTGATTGGCATATTACCTCATGCATGTGTTTTTCCTGAAGGGGGAAATACTTCATTTCATATGCAAACATCTGAGAAAGCATCTTGCTCATACCATGACAGTGAAGTCCCATGGCACTGTGACTCCCCTCACCAGTACGAAAAAATTCAAGGCCAGTCTCTCCACTCCCCTCTCCAAAGTTGTGTTTTCACAAAAATTTCAATAGCTGTATTAACTAAGGTTCAATATTATCTTATTAAAACTTTGCCCGACCTTTTATTTGGGAACTCTTTGATGTAGCTCTCACTCTGCTTGACCCACAGCCACTCTCTCATTTACTCCATCTTTACCATAAAGAGAGGGATGCTAGCTTCCCTACTAAGAGTTCCTGCCTGAGCTGACTGAAATCCTTGGGAGCGTAGAATTCAGACTTACTCTTATTGCCATTTGCTTTAATACCAAAATTAATGACTTGATAAAGTTTGTTTTGCTCAAAGTTATATTCCAAATAATACCCCAGCCATGTAAACGTTTCTCTGCTGAAGATGTCCAAGTCCCTTGAAATAAACAGCCAAAGGGAAATCATGCCGGCCCCCAGTTAGGCTGTTCAGGCAAAAGGATGAAGGTAGCTGTAATAACTCTGTAGGGTGCTCTCACTGGCTAACTCATGCTGATCGGAATATTTAGCTAGCAATTTAATGATGTTGCTACTCTAATGGTTGTAAAATAGGGAACTTAATTAATTAGGACTTGATAAAAGTTGTTGACAAGTGTAATATTTTAAAACATGGGTTGGGGTGATCTGGAGATGAGAAAAAAGCATGGGAATGGTGACTCTGAAGCGTTAAAAAGGTCAGGAACTGGGGACCCTGTGGAAATCTGTACAATTCCCATGTCTGCAACAGAGCTGGCTCTTCTCTTGCTTCCCTCATCACTAAAATGTGCCACTATGGCCTCCGCCGTGGAGCTCCCTTCCACTGTTTCTTTGTGAAACATGGACCGCTTCCCTTGTAAGAGAGGGAAAGTGTCTTGGAGGAGAAGCATCAAGTGTCTTGGAGGAGAAAATATCTACAAAGATTAAATTTGCATTAGGAAATGAATGTTAGTCTTTTAAATTTATTTTTAGGAATGGCAGAGGAGGGAAGCAACATGGATAAAAATGCTAAACCACAAGAAAATTTGTGGAAATTATATTTGTATAAAATGTTCTCCCCCTCTCCAAACCAAGATGATTAAGAAACTCTTTTAGCACTGTACACTGAAAAATTTGTTAAAAGGGCAGATTTCATGTTATGTGTGTGTGTGTTTTAGCCACAATTTTAAAAAGAAAGAAAAAAGAGAACACTCTTCTATTAGAAGTGGAACATCTGAATTTCCTGAGCACACCTCATTTGTTTACAAAGGGTCCTTGCATAATGAGTACTGAGTAGATGTGGGATCAGGGTGGTAGTCCTGGTTGAAGAATGTTTTGTAGCTAAACCACAGATAACAAGCTCATGAAAAATTAGAAGGTAGTAAGTCAAATGATCATTCTCTGACCCATAATGTGGATCACTAGCGGATAGGCTTTGAAGCACACAGACCATATAAATCCGGATGCAGACTCCATGTTCCTCTAGGATGAGTATCCTTAAGTAACTTTCAGCGCAAGTTCTTATTGAAATACCTTAGCTTAAAAAAAACGATTCTTTTCTAAAATTATCAGCTCAAATGTTAAACTTTAAAGGTCTCCCAGGTTCCAGCATTATATGGAAAAGGAAAATGAGCTCCTTTGAACAAAAATTTCCATCATTTCATTGCCATTCAAAAGCCCTGTGATTGGGAGGTCCGTGTCTTCCTTCCTTTTCCACCCCACCCCCTTACTCCAAAGTGAATACAGTTCTAAAATAAATTACCAAGCTCAAAAGACTGTGGTGCACCATGCTCATTTGATTTTTCCCTGACTTGACTAAATCAAAAAATTTAATTTCAAGAACACCTGTAAGCCCAGCAGAACTGCTGAGTTTAATTATCATACTGAGTTTCTTTAAAGACATTGACTTTTCTTTTCGTATTCACTTTTTTTTTTTTTTTTTTTGGAGGAAAATGATTATGTCCCTGAAGCATTATTCATTATGCCTGGAAAAAAAGGCATCTGGATGACAAAGGACAACCTTTGCTTCACTTACCTAGAGGAGGTCCATGTGTCATGAGTATGTCAATGCCCTCAGGGATGAGGTTCCACTTGTCCAGCAGAGACTGACCTCTGGGTAGGTTAAAGCCCCATCCATTAAACCACGGGGTCCTTTGGGGGAGATAATGCACATGGTATCAGGCCAGCAGAGCCACGGCTCTGCTCTGCAATATTTCTCTCTCGCACATTCCCCCACGGTTTGCATTGCTCTCTTTTCTCTTTTTGATGGTTGGCCCTGGCAGCAGGATGCTTTTTTGTTGACTGCTTCAAAACCAATCCATTTGAAAGCAAGCGTGGAGCCTACGAATTGTTCCACTAGAAAGGGGCACAGGAGCCTTTACAGTGGAGACTTTCCCAGCAGGCCTCTATCAAAATCTTGACAATGCTTTGTCTTCCCCCAAATCTCAGTGCTTCCTAAGATACCCAGCCCCGATCCAAAGCATTTCCACCCTTCCTGTAGTGCCTCAGAGCTAAGAAATTCTGCAGTACTCCTTCCCCCTCCCAATCACTGTGGAACTACTTCTCTAGAAAGATTCTCACTAAAGTCCTTGGAGAAATGGATAAGGGCTCTGATATAGACACCTCTGTCCATCGAGATGGTCTGAATACCCTGGAGTGACATTTCTGAAAAAACATGGGGGCTCTGAAAAGTGAGAAGGAACACAGTGAACAAAAAGTAAACGTAGAACTTTTCTCCTGCCACCAAAGGGAAGATTTGGGGACATCTTTGGTCACTTTGGAATCCACTCTCCTGACAATGAACATGAGCTTTTTGCCATCACAGGAACTTGCGCTCTAGGAATGAGTTTTTGAGACTGTTTTCCATGTAAAAGGGAATGGAGTCTTTGTCCATCCACTGAGCATTTCTAATTGGTGTTAAAAATGTCTCTACCATTTAAAATACAGGTAATGGAAGACTGATCAATTTCTCTCTGCAAATACTATAGTCTAAATCACATTAGAAGTAAGTAGTTCCCAGTGTTATCGTATTCCCAAACATCCAGATCTTATTGGTATTCTTTAAAACTGTTCTCTTTTGTTCTGTGAGTAAATTCCAATTTGCTGAGGCATACTTGTAAAAGACAAGTTGATCAATTTTCTGGCCAAGTCCAACTTTCCTTTTCAGCTTAACCTGCTCCTTCCATGACAAATGAAAGAGGTAAGCCTGTGTATAAAGTGACCCTAACCTTGTCAGTCACAACTAATCAAATGGATTAAAGCCAGTCACTGGTCAGACTAAGCAGATTCTTTCAAGAATTTGAACTCAGAAACATTGATACAGCATTAATTTGGTGGTGGACATGTATAGTCAAGCCCAGAGAGAGAAGAATGGTCATTAAAAGCCATGCAAAAATCAGTGTTACACGTGCAAACCTCGGTTCACACTGAGATGGTGGAGAAAGTTCCAGAGAGGAGAGCCTGTGTGGCCTTAGCAAGAAAAGAAGAAACTAGGAAAGTATCAGACTTTCTTCCTCACCACTTTCCAAGTCCTTAAGCCATGCCCAAGGTGCTTACTTATAATAAAAATATGAATATGAGAATAATACTTATTATAGCTATTATTTGATGCTTTTTTTCTGTGTCAAGGTACCATTCTAAGCACTTTATTTGTATTAATTCATTTAAGCCTCACAACAGACTCATGAGGTGGGCACTATTATCATCTCTACTTTACGATGTGGAAACTGAGGCACATATTGGTTAGGTAAACACTATTAATAACTTGGATATAAACTTAGGCCGACTGCTCCCAAAATCAATGTTTACCACCGTGCAATTCCTCTTCTTATATACTATCTGAATTAATTTACTTCTTGCTCTGGATGAGACTTTTCTGTACTCTTTCAAGTTTGGACATCTTGTTGCTTGAAGCCTAACGATTTCTGAATTGGAATAATATTATCAATTTCATGGTTCTGAAATCCAGTAATAACATGGTGGAATGAACACCTATTGCTTCTTCCTGTTCAGATCTTTCCCCCTTGTTTTGGTGACAACTTGAGAGTTTCCTTTGGAGAACCCCTCCTTTTTCCACTCAATACATGTGCTTCTGGTAAGACTGACTCCATCCCTGCTCTAGAATGAGGCTTAGCAATATATACATATGACCCAACTTAGGTCAATGAGAGTCACCCTCAGGCTTTGGCTGGTGCTATCTAAGAAGAGCTCAAAGTTTTCTCTCTGGAATCCTGAGTTTTAAGACCTATGTGAGCCCAGAATTGCCTGAGAGCTATTTTATCTGTCCTATAGATATCCCCGGCTTGAGAAACCATCACAAAGAAACCCATGGCAAAAAAGAGAGTGCTCTAATGATATTGTTGGACATGTGAATCCAGTCGAACTTGAAGCCAATTGAACTTTTCCTTCTAAAAGCCAATAAAATCTTGTTCTTTTTATTAGCTTTAGTTAGGTCCTGTTTCTTGAAACTTAAAACATCCTAATATATACAATTATTGTATGTACCTGAGGTCAGCAATAACGCCTTCTCCACTCCTAGATGTCCATATCCTAATATCTGGAACCTGTGAATGTTACTGTACGTGGCAAAGGGAAATTAAGGTCACTGATGGAATTCAGCTGATCTGAAAATAGGAAGATTATCCAGGATTATCTAGGTCAGTCCAGTGTAACCCCAAGAGTCCCTAAAAGTGGAGGAGGGAGGTGGAAAAGAAGATCAAAGTGATGCAATATGAGAAGGACTCAACCTGCTATTGATGGCTTTGAAGACAAAAGAAGGAGACCAGGAGGCAAGTAAAGTGGGCAACGGTAGAAGCCGGAAAAGTTAAGAAAAACCCAGATCTTCCTATAGAGCCTCCAAAAAATAAATAAATAAATACAATACAGCACTGCTGACACCTGGATTTTAGTCCAGTGAGACCCAAGTCAGACTTTTGATCAATGTATTTGGAAGATAAATATGTGTTGTTAGAAGCCATTAAAGTTGCTGTGACTTGTTAGAGAAGAAATCGAAAATTGATACAGTACCTACAATGTCTGAGCTGGCTATAAAATGCAGGGACCGGGAGTGGCCCTGGACCTCAGCTGACATTTGGCACCTACTCAGTCAACACAGCCCATCCCAGCCACACTGCCTTGCTCAGCTAGATACAGTGCTTTTAGAGAGGAGAAGGCAGTGTTCTCTCTCTTCGATTTGCTTGGGAGGTACCTGGCATTGGAGTTCTGGGGATAATGCCAGGTATTCCCTTTGAAGAGTTTGATGAATCGGTCTTTCTCTTTCTTGTCCTCTAAGATTCCCCACTTTCAGGTTCTTAAACATTTTTATTGGAGTCTCAAATAGAGCTTTTCTAGTTTGGGATGCCCATCCTTCCCCTTCATTTTACAATGACTCTCTTCTAAGGTTTGTCTTAAAAGTAAAAACAAAACAAAAAGGCAACTTCGAAACCCAGTGAAAACTCAGTGAGCATTTTGGACAAAGAGAGACAGAGAAAAATAAGCAAAAGCATCTGTTTTGCTAGATTTTGAAAGCAAGCTTCTGGGCCTATGGTTCTCATCTGGATGTCTGATAAAGAAGGGTTTTAACAAGTCCCAAGCACACTCCAGTAGTTGGTACAAGAAGGGGATCTGATTTCGCTGTCAGTGTCTTTCAGAGGACACTCAACCTCTGAACCCACAGGACACCCAGGGGCTTCCAGAGGCAAAGGAACAGCACTTAATTTTTTCAGTCTTTCCAGTTTTCCCTTACAGAATTTTCTCTTAAAATCACACAGCCATATTGAGGAAATCCTCAGTTTTATAAGTGCTCTGTAAAAGATAAGACAAACCCATGTTCCCTATTTATAGAGACCCCAAATTTCATTTGGTTAATGTTAAGCTTGTGACAAAATCCAGAAGTTTCCAAGTTAAAGGTGAAGTTTAAAAATGTCTGGCTTTTATTTTAACTCAGATCCGTATGTGTATGTGAAGTTGAATAGTTATATTCCAGGAAAAAAACAAACAAACAAACAAACATGTATCATGTGTGTTTATATAGAGCTTTTACATAAATTATTGGATTTAGTTCTTTGCAGTAATTTTTAAGCTAAGTATTATCAGCTCTATTTTTAGTTAAAAACCTGAACATCAGTGATATCAGGTAACCTGTCCATGTTCCCAGAACCAGTAAGTAGTAAAGCCAAGATCTGAACTCAGGTCTGCAGGTTCCAAAGCCTGGGCTCTTCGCTTGCACAATGCCAACCAAAAAACCGTTCAGCCCAATTTCAGTTTTGCTCTCACATACGTAAAGTAAAAATAAGGCTGCTCCACGCAGTCTCTTAGTCTGTGTACTGCACAACTCCAAGAGTTGCCAGGGAATTGTGCAACTGAGGTGGCCCTTAGTAAAAACATAGTATGATATGGCCGTTCTGGGGGCTTTCCAGTCCTCTAAATCCTCTAGGTAAGACAGTGCCACAAGTCAGTGGCAGGCAATGGGAAAAGCAGCCCACTGATGGATTCCAGAATTATTCCAGCATGACATAACCAATGGGGCATACAGAAGTGAGGAGATGTGTGTGCTAATTCTCATGCTGAAATTAATTCATTCACTCCCTTGAATCTTAGGTTAGCAAAAGGTCCTCGCTGGTTCAGTTTCCTCATCTGAGGAATGAATGAGTAGGTGGACTCAGTTACTGGATTTCAAGATTGCTTTTAGGTTGTGGAAATCTTATGCAGAAGTGCAAAGCACAAAGCAGGCAAATGCAAAGGTGGGAACTGGGAAGAAGGGACTTGGAGCCTGCTCACTCACTCAGCTACCTCCTTCTTTTCAACCTGCACCCCTGAGCACAGCTGGCCAAACCTGGCACTTGATGATATTTCCATGATCTAAAAATTCTGATATTTTATAATTCTGTGCAGATTACCCATGTTCTGAGTAATTGCAGTGAATTGCTCTCAGTGCTTATGAAGGACCAAGCAGTGTGAGAGAAATATATAGAGATCAGAGACTGAATGTGTCAGCACCAATGAATAATGCTTTATCCAGTTGAGTTTCAACTGAAACATGAAACTCCAGCAGTGAGCCCATCAAGGGTTCACTGGAAAATATGTGCACAGCCAACCTCCAGAGCCCCACAATGGGTTTTGTTGTGCAGCAATGGGGGGTGAGGGGGGAAAAG